CCGGCGCTGCCACCACATCCAGTTCCCGAGCAGATAGTGGTGGCTCAACATGCTGGCCACGCAACAAGAAGTTCGGCCTCGGCACTTCGGGAGGGAGAGGTGCCGGCATCATTGCATCTCCCAGGAGGGCCGCGAATACTACTGGTGCGCACTCTCGAACACTCTGGCTTCAGGGGTGGGGCATCTGTGGAATCGGCGACCCCGACACCGAGAGTTGCTCACAACGTGGACACCCGGAGGTCTCGACCACTCCTGCGAGACCGTTTCATCCTGAATCGTCGTCTGGAGGTCCTGGGGCCCAGTGAGAGCCCACGGGTGACGCAAAAGTTAAAGTTCAGTTGTTGTCGCCCCTCAACTGGCGTCAAACAGTTGTTTCAAACAACTGCTTGACGCTTGCACAACACGAAGGCGTCTCCCCCATCACCCCCCGACCCCATCACCCCCTGGCAACGCAGGCCTGCCCATACTCGGACGCGGCGAAGCAAGCCAGGCGGAGCGCGGCGTGCCGCCTTGCGATGCCGGCCTGCTCCCGCCAGGACGCGGCGAAGCAAGCGGGGGGAAGAGGGGGCGCCGCGTCCCCCCTGCAACGCGAGCCTATTCCTGATGGGACTCGACGAAGCAGGCGGGGTCGCGGGGGGGGGAGGCGGGTTACCTTTGCAGCGCTGCCCTGCTGCTGTCAGGGCGCGGCGAGGCAAAAGAAAGGGGAGCGCGGCGCCCCCCCCCTTCTGCAATGCTAGCGCAGTCCTGGCACGGCGCGACGGAGCGGGCGGGGAGGAGGGCAGGAGGGCGCGGCGCGCCCCTCTTGAATTGCCGCAGCGATCCTGCCATGACGCGACGTGCGGCGCGCCCCCCTGGCAGTGCGGCCCCACTGCTGCCAGGACGTGGCGAGGCAACGGAGGGGTGCGCGGCGCGCCGCGCTCCCCCCCGGCGACGATGCTGGCCTCGTCCTGACAGGGAGCGGCGAAGCAGGCGGCGGGGGGGGCGCGCCCCCCTTCTTGCGGTGCTGCCCTGCCCTTGCCGGGGCGCGGCGGCGAAAAGCGGGGGGGACTGGGGGGCGCGGCGCGCCCCCCCCCTCCTCTGCAGTGACGCGGCGGGGCAGTGGGGGAGGGCGCGGCGCGACGCGGCGAGGCAGTGGGGGAGGGCGCGGCGCGCCGCGCCCCCCCTCCCCCTCTGCAGTGACGCGGCGAGGCAGCGGGGGGAGGGCGCTGCAAGGCGGGCCGACTCTGCTGCCAGGGCGCGGCGAAGGGTGCAGGAAGGCGCCCGCGGTCCCCGCGGTGGCCCCCCTCCCCGATACCTGCTGGGACGCGGCTGCGCGAACGCAGCGCCGCAGGACAGGCGTAGTCGATCTCACCTGAGGCGCAACGGCCCGGACGCCGGCACGGAGACCCTGGCCCATACCAGAGGTAACGCACACCACTGAGACCGAACCTTGCCACAACAGAGCGTGGTTCTTGTTCTTCGCTAGCTCGGACGCCTCTGGAAGCCCACAGAGCACGGCAGCACCGTATTTTTGGGCTCCTCCTCCTCTTCCTCCTCCTCCTCCTCCCCCCCTTTCTTCTTCTCCTCCTCCTCCGACTCCTCCTCCTACACAGGACTCCAAAGGGAGCCCATGGAATCCTCGTAACTGTTGCGGAGAGGGGGGGCGACATGGGGGGGGGATGAGTACGAAATCCATGTCAACGCGACGCCCCAGAACCTGGGGGGGGACTTTCTCAATCATCGACCTTCATTATACATCCATTGTTGTGTGCGCGTGCGAATTAAATCCGAAGCCAATCGGGCCTTCACCACGCCAGGGACGTCAATCTGGATGGTGGGTTACCGACAAGGTACCACCTGTTTGGTGTCACAGTGGCATCTGCTGAATCGCGGAGGAGGTGTGCGCTTCACCTTATCCAAATCAAACATTTAACAATGACAGCAACAATACTTCACTGCTAAGCCGGGAAGCGATGACCTCGCGTCTTCATCTTCCCTCGGGGTACCCTCGAGGTGCTTAGAGGGAAAGCGGTCCAGTGAGGCAAGACACGGGGGGCATTCACAAGCATGGCTGCAAAATCCATTAGACGGTCCCACTAACGGAAAACATCATCACTGCTCCTCATATGCGTTCTCACTGACACCACGTGCCCCGCTAGCCCGGATTGGAACCATCATAGGCACTCCCGGAAAATGCCTAAACAACACTAAATCGGGCGCGCGAACGGGCGTCACGAATAATAGAACTAACAATTGATTTATCAACGGGCACGCGACGCGATCACAAAGCGGAAATGTTTGCAGACGATGAGTGAAACTCAAACGGAAATGAACAAACTGCTGCACGAGCAAGACATCTGTGCGACTCTTGCGGCCTTCGACAGCCACTGTGCTTTGCAACTTCCCCCGCCGTTCCCCCTCTTTTTCTTTCCTCCATCCTCAACTCTTCTTCATCCCCTCCTCTGTCCTTCCATTCCTCCTTCCTCCCCCTGCCCCTCTCCGCTCCATCCAACCCCACCCCTTCCTCTCTCCCCTGCCGTCCCTGGCTCCTGCCTTCCCCGTCCTTCCGTGCCTCCCTTGTCCCTCCTCCCCTCTCCAGGTCTGCCCCCCCTCCCTCCTCCCTCCTCCCTCTCTCGCCCTCCCTTCTCCCTCTTCCTCTCCTCCCTTCCACCCACGGCAGCTCTGTTTTTTGGACCCCCGACCCCACGACTTCTCGCACAAAAGCGACCGACACCCCCCTCCTCGCCCCGGCATCCGCACCCACGGCAGCCCTCTTGGGACCCCCGACCCCACGATTTGGCGCCCAAAAACGACCGATACCCCCGCTCCTCGCCCCGGCATCCGCACCCACGGCAGCTCTGTTCGTGGGACCCCGACCCCACGATTTCTCGCCCAAAAACGACCGACACCCCCCTCCTCGCCCCGGCATCCGCACCCACGGCAGCTCTGTTTTCCCGGAAAGGGCTTGAGCCCAGGGTTCTCTTTTAGATGGTTTCCCCCGGGCTTGACGGGAAGAGGGCCGGCGAATTTCTTTTGCGATAAATAACGAGTGGGAAGAGGGCCGGCGAATTAAAATTTGAGGATGTCCCTAGCGAAACGCTTGTTTTTCAGAATTTGTTGAGGATGTCTCGAGCGAGACGCTGGTTTTGCAGAGTTGGGGATGTCTCGAGCGAAACGCTTGGTTTCAGAATTTGTTGAGGATGTCTCGAGCGACACGCTGGTTTTGCAGAGCCGACCGCGACACGGAAAAGCGCCCCTCGCGCAGGAATTCCAAGGATGTCTCGCGCGTGCCGCGTCCCGCGCGCGGGTATTTGGATTTCTTGGGATTTTGACAGGATGTCTCGAGCGAAACGCTTGTTTTTCATAATTTGTTGAGGATGTCTCGAGCGAAACGCTGGTTTTGCAAAATTGGAGGATGTCTCGAGCGGTGGCCTCGTGGGGGGCCAGAATTCAAAGGATGTCTCAGGCGAAATGCTTGTTTTCACGTCCCGCTCGCAGGAATTCCGAGGATGTCTCGCGCGTGCAGCGTCCCGCGCGTAGGAATTCAGATGATTTTGACAGGATGTCTCGAGCGAAACGCTTGTCCCCAGCACGTTCCGTAGCGCGTCCCCTTGGCAGGTCCCGCGATGCGTCCCCATGGCACGTCCCTTGGCACGTCGCTTGGCGCGTCCCTTGAGACGTTCTGCGTCGCGTCCTCCTGGCATGTTCCCCTGTCCATTAGCTCTGGGGCAGCTACTATGTGTTCAGGCAGCTCGAGCTTAAGATCCAGATCAGTTCGGTCAGGACTCGGATGCAAAGGAGGACTCGATCCACGAGGCTATAGAGCACAATCGCGCCATGGCACATCGCAATTCAGCACGGCGCAGCACAGCACTGATTTCGGCACGGTACATCAAGGTCGATGCACTCAGCATTGCAACTTGGCACGTTCCTTGGCACGTTCCGTGGGGCGTCCTTTGGCGAGTCCCCCTGGCACGTCGCGTCGCGCGTCCCCTGGCACATCCCGTGGCACATCCATTGGCACGTTCCGTAGCGCGTCCCCTTGGCACGTCCCGCGGTGCGACCCCATGGCACGTCCCCTGGCACGTCGCCTGGCGCATCCCTTGGGACGTTTCGCGGCGCGTCCTCCTGGCATGTTCCCCTGTCCATTAGCTCTGGGGCAGCTACTATGTGTTCAGGCAGCTCGAGCTTAAGATCCAGATCAGTTCGGTCAGGACTCGGATGCAAAGGAGGACTCGATCCACGAGGCTATAGAGCACAGTCGCGCCATGGCACATCGCAATTCAGCACGGCGCAGCACAGCACAGCCCTCGGCAGGGTACATCAAGATCGATACCTTCAGTATTGCATTTGCCCGTCACCCAATCAGGTGTCTTTGAAAACGCTGCCATGTGTTACAGTTCTACATTCCTTTTCGGGTTCGTGGGTCGATCATGTTTTAGACCCCCGACCCCGCGATATCTCGCCCAAAAACGACCGACACCCCGCTCCTCGCCCCGGCATCCGCACCCATGGCAGCCCTGTTCTTGGGATCCCCGCCCCCAAGACTTCTCGCCCAAAAACAACCGACACCCCCCTCCTCGCCCCGGCATCCGCACCCCCTCCCCCCTCCCTGCCCCCCTCCGCCCTATCCCCCCCCTTCCCCCCCCACCCCTCGTCCGCCCCCCCCCCTCTCCCCGTGGAAGCGCGGCCGTCCACCCCCAACTCGAGGAGGCGCCCGGTCGGAGCGACGACGGTGCAACGCGCGGGCCCTGGCGTGCAAGATCGCCACGACTGGGCCGCAGGCGGCACCGCCCCCCCCTTTCGATGTTTAGACCTGCGATGCCCTGATGTTTTCCTGTGGGGTCGCCGGACATCCCGCCACCGCCTTTTCATCCCGAGTCGGCTTCTGGCAGTCCGGGGCATCACCAAAGACGGCGCGAACATGTCTGGAGGCCGCCGCCGACGACGACGAACACCGAACGACGAACGACGGACGACGAATGACGACGACGGCCAACCCCACGGGGCCGCGCCGAGGCCTGGAGCGAGCTCAGCGAGGGCGGCTTGGCGGCCTGCTCGGCCATGGCCTCGGGGACCGCTCGGTCCGCTCCCCTCACCCGCCCGTCCGCCTGCTCCTGCGGTGGCCTCTCGCGGGCCGCCCCGGCGAGGACACGTGGCGGCAGGCATCGAAATCGGATCGGCTCGAGCTCTGGCAGGTGGCATCGAGTCAGATTTCTGGCAGGAGGGGCGAGGCACGGAGAGCAGCCAGCAAAGGAGTGGGGGCGAGAGGAAAAACCAACTCGGGTGAGCTGGCCCGAGGGCACTCCACGGCGCACCCCCAGCTCAGGCCGAAGCCAACGCTGAGATGCCCAGACAAATGGAAAGGACCCACCCTGCAGGTTCGGTCGACACCACATCGCCAGAGGGTGGGCAGGAGGGAGGCGAGAGGGTGGTGCTGGTGGCCACCGCACCAGGGAAACGGGCCCCGAGCAGAGCAGCATGCACCACGACCGCGACGACGCCGACGACGACGTCGGCGTCGCGGCGCGCGGCGCCGAAGACGACGACTCTGGCGGCGGCCGCCGCCGTGGCCGTCGCCACCGCCCTCGCGGGCGTCCCCGCTGAGGCCCCCGCTCCCGCGCCGCGCGAAGCCAGGGGCGCCGCGCCCCGCCTCGGGCCCGCGCGGCCGGCGCCCCCCCCCCGTGTGCTCCGGCGGGCGGCGGCCTGGCCAGTGCTCCGCAGCTGCGCGGCGGGGGCGGCGCGGCGGGGCGTGGCTTATACAACTCGGGCGGCGCAGCGGCGTGCACACGCCGTGCCCCTGCTGGGCCCCGGGGACGCCTCGTGCAGGGCACCAAAGGTGCACCCTTCCCCCCCCCGCCCCCCCCCTCCACACACACACACAGACACACAGACACACAGACACACAGACACACACACACAGACACACAGGCACACAGGCACACAGACACACAGACACACAGACACACAGACACACAGACACACAGACACACGCACACGCACACGCACACGCACACGCACACGCACACGCACACGCACACGCACACGCACACGCACACGCACACGCACACGCACACACACACACCACATGCACACACACACTTACACACACACCTACACACACTTACACACTTACACACACTTACACACACACACACACTTACACACACTTACACACACACACACACTTACACTTACACACACACACACACACGCACACACACACGCACACACACACACACACACGCACACACACACACACACACGCCCATATCTGTCGCCACCCCCCCATGGCGCCACGCCCGACGGAGGCAGGCCGCGCGAGAACGCCAGAGAAAGAGGAGGAGGAGGAGGAGGAGGAGGAGGAGGAGGAGGAGGAGGAGGAGGTGGCGGGGTGGGGCGCCGACGCAAGTCCCGACGGAGCGCCCTACGAGAGAGCTACGCCAGATGCGGAGGCTGGAGAGGTCTGGGGGATGCTGAAAGCTGCCAGGCTCCCAGCTGCCAGATCACCAGTCATTGGGGAGTACCATACCCACATCACCCTCTCGTACCGTTGCCTTTGCAGGTCTGGGCTGCCAGGGCGTGGACATGGACACGCCAGGGTCGTATGCGTCGGCTAGCATCGAGGACGTCGTATCCATGCCCCTGGTATCCATAACCGGGCTAGCTAAGCGAAGAAGGTCGCACCCCACTGGCTCGCCTTCGCCGAGGCCGCCATGAACGAAACTATGGCCCGACTTACCAAACGCGACCGGCTCGCGCCCCTTTCCACACTTTGCTTCTCGCCATCGTCCTCGACATTCCCCCGGCGTCGCCGTCGAATGCAGGTAGTCGTCACCATCGCCGTCGTCGAGATTCATGCTCGACAGCGACGACACGGACACAGGCACGACCCGCCTCCGTGACGCAGGAGAAAACATTCCATCCTCCTGGCGGGCCCCCGAGCACCAGCTCAGCTCGGCGTCGGTCCCCAGGTCCCTCCCAGGCTTCTCCCTGGCCCGCCTCTGGGGAAATCAAAAGCTTGAAGGGGCCCTGGGACACACAAATAAATAGACACAAATAACCAGATTCCCCATATTTTCCTTATATTTTCTGTGTTTTGGTCTTCCCCCCCACTTCCCATATTTTCCCATATTTTGTTGGGAGTCGACGATTAATTGTGTCTGTGTTTCTTTCCCTCCTGGAAGCTACCCACACCCTTCCTCCCCGGACCTCTCCCGGGGTGCGTTCTGACCAAGGAGTTCCGTAGCGAATTCAAAGCCGCGACGGCGAAGGCCTCCCAAGAGGCCCCAACGAGGCGAAAGCGAGAGAAGGGCACCGACCTGGGTACCCGTCTACCCGTCCCTCCTCCGAGCTTCTCGAACCGCGCCCAGGCGCGGCAGCGGGAGCCCCGTAGATACGCCCAGGATCATCCGAGACGACGACGACGACGACGACGACGACGACGACGACGACGACGCTGGGCCTCCCCAGTGGAGCCCGAGGATATGGGGTCGGAGTGTCGTGCCGCATTTCCGATGCATCGCCGACGCACCAGCGATACATCGTCGATGCATCGGCGACGTCGGCGTGCATCGGCGCCGTCGCCCAGACGATAATCGGGCCCCACATCGAGCCGCGCCACAATTGCTGCGTGTCTAATCCGTTCCGACCGCAATCAGCAGGGCAGACAAGGCCACCCGAAGACGCGACACAACCTACTCGGACCCCACCTGGGAGGCCTGGAGACGACCGCAGCACCTCCCGCGCGCGGCGCCGCTCTCCCCCTTCGGGGGGTCGCCGCTGAGCGCGGCCCGGCCGCGCGCGCGCGCGCGCTCCGCGGGGCGGCGGCGGGGGGGTGCCGGCAGGGCGCCCGGCATCACTCGGCCCGCTCCCAATCCTGAGGAGGGCCGGCAGGCTTGGTGTCTGCTCCACGGGAGCCTGCGTGGCCTCCGGCGCTGTCCGATTTGGGCCTGATCTGGGCCCGACTTGAAGCAGACTTGGGACTCGGCCCTGCACAAGGGAGATGAGGAGAACGAGGAGGGGAAGGGGGAGCAGGAATGGCGAGGAGGAGCAGGAGGAAGGGCCACATGCGGTCCAAATGTGGTCCAGATGCAAGAAAAAGGTGATTTCAACGTGGCCGCCCAAGGCTCCCTCCAACAGACATCGAACAGGGGGGGGCGGGAGGTAGAAGTCGCTTCGCGAGGGCTTCGCGCAGGAAACTGCGACGCCGCAATACTCATCATCGGGCTCTGGGGTCAGCGGAGTATCGACGGCGACGACAGCGAGCATCTCAACGAGCCGTTGCTGGCACAAAGTACCTTTCTGGAACTGCCCACGACCGTACTCGGCGCACACACAATAGCATCAGATGAGGCTTCCCGGGACGCCGCTGCCCTTCTTGAAAAGGAAAAGAAGGAGGAGGAGGAGGAGAAGGAGGAGGAGGAGGAGGAAGAGGAGGAGGGTGAGGACCAGTGTCAACCCAGGACTCATCAACGATGCTGGAATTTCTTGTAGTAGCGTAAGAGCAATTGCAGTCTGAGGCTCCTTGGGCTGCGGCGCAGAACGAGGCAGGACCCGAGAAGGTATAAAAGCTCACCTCCTTTATGCTCCCCCTCTCGCCTCCCCCCCCTCTCTTCCGCTCCCAGTCCTGGGGTGGGCGAGGAGGGGAAGTGGTTGGGGGCAGGCTGGGTGTGCTCGCGCCGAATGTGACAGCCTACCCCTCATCCCCACCCCTTCCCACTGCGCCGACCCGCAAGTCTTCAGGTGTCTGCCCCTGGTGCCTGGAGACCTAACGGACGGCCGACGACACCCAAAAGCCTCTCGACGAGTGTGCGGTCTCGGGGGCCCCAGTGAGCTGGGCACCAGGGGATCGACCTGAGCAGTGTTTGTTCCGTTTCCTTGTGTTTTCGTCTTCCCTCGTTTTTTGCCCCTCATCCGCCTCTGCTGCAAAACGAGCTCGAACACAGAACGGCCCACGAACTCGCCAGAACACCGGCTAGGTCGACCCCTGCTGGAAGGTGGGGGGAGCGGCTGTGTTACATCTTCGGGGGACCTCGCCTGTCCAGTCGCGCCGCTGTGCGCGTCGACTCCGTGCTGAAGTCGTGCCGACCTCGCCGCCTCCGCGCCGAGTCGCAATGTCGAGTCCCGGCTCCACGCCGAGGCCGCAGATCGAACCCGCGTCGGGCACGAGGGAAGAGTGGCAGTCTTGCGGGCAGAGGGACGTCCTCCGAAGAGGCAGGGGCAGGAGGAAACATAGAGCAAAAGAGCACCGTGGGGAACTCCCGCCGCTCGCTCGCCCTCAGCCGTCTCTCCCGCTCGCTTCTCCGCAGCCTCCCGCCCACGAGGCGGAGCCGTGCTGTGCCGACCCTGCAGCGGTGGAGGCCCTGAAACTGCACAGCCTGCCCCCGAGATCCGACGCCAGCGAAAAAAAATGGCAGAATCGCCACCAGAGCCCAGGACCCCATCTTTCTGCTCCCTTCCACCTCAATCCCCCTCCTCCTCCTCCTCCTCCTCCTCCTCCTCCTCCTCCTCCTCCTCCTCCTCCTCCTCACACTCGTCGTCGTCATCAGGGTCGGCGGCGCCGGCCGTAAGGCCTTAGCAATATGGCAGAATCGCCACCAGAGTTCGGGACCACATCTCGCTGCTCCAAATATCGCCCATGCTGGGCGAAGACCGCCCGCCTCGACAACAGTCGAGACGCCGGGATCTCGGGGTCGGGAGGCCCAAGACGGCGCGCTGGCCACACCGTCCAGTGGGCAGAGGCCTCCCAAGAGGGGGTCCGCGCAGACGGGGTCGTAGGATCGCGCCGCATCGGCGATGCATCACCGACGCATCCACAATGCATCGTCGGCGTCGGCGACGCATCGGCGCGGCCAGCCTGGATAACATCGACCTGCACATCGAGCCGCATCGCCGATGCATCGGCGATGCGGGGCGATCCTCCGCCCCCGTATTCTCGGACCCCATCTGGGAGGCCTACCAACCAACCAACCAACCAACCACCACTCCTCCTCCTCCTCCTCCTCCTCTTCCTCCTCCTCCTCGATAGCCGGGACCACCCGTTAGGGAACTCGAGTCATCTGGGATAGTACCTCTGGCCCGGGGTAGCTCCAGCCTGGGCCCCCGAGGCACGCGCCAGGAACTGTCCCCGAAACCGCCGCCCGAACCCCGATGATGCGGGCATGGCCGGACGCCCGAGCTATCCAGGAGGACTCCAGTGCGGGGTAGTCAACTCAGGCTGGGGCTCCCGAGGCACGAACCAGCAGTCACCCGCGAGACCCCCCCTCTGTCAGTGGACTCGGGGGCCGATGCATCCCCCCTCTGAGCCTGTCCCTCCCTGGCCCAGGGTCCTACTTGTGTCAGCACGGGGTCCCCCGAGGTTCTGACCCTCTCCGCAGCGCTGGGTTTCATTGCGAGTCGTTTTTTGGCTGCCCCGTGCCCCCGCCTCGATGCTTCAACGACGCGACGGTGCAAGTTGTGTGTGACCGCATGCGGCTGCAGCTAGATTGCGAAACTACCACCACGCGCAATCCTCACCCCCTGCAATCAAATGTTGGCCTCGATGCAGCACCTCGGGTCTTGGAGGACAGTAGAAATCAACATTGAAGTGTGGGAGGGGAGATTCTGCAACGGGCCGAACATGTCTCATTCACCTTGACGGCTTGCGGGGGGATCATTGTCAGATAACTTGACATACCTTGTCCACCCATTGAAGCATGTCTGCCTGGATCTGCGCGGGAGTTGGTAAGCAGATTGGGAGTTTATATGTTGCTACCAAGGTAGAAAAGGCATAACTGGCCAAACCTGGCTTAGAAGTTGGCTACACATGACCCGAGCGGCGCACGTGAAGCAAATATCTGGGCTAAGTGGGCGGAAACTTACCGAACTTACCTGACCCTGTAAAGCCACTCATCTGGGCCCTTGTAACCCACATATAAGTAGATTAGGCCAGCAAAGCCATCTGTGTATCCACCAGTCACCACCCTACCCCCTTAGCACCCCCCCCCGCGCCGAGCCAAGTGGGCCTGATTCGGCGACTCCGAAGGGCATGGTTTTGCAAAGGGTGTGGCTTGCAACCCGCGGGGGGGGGGGGGCGCGGGCGAGGACCTCCAAAGAGATCCCTGCCGCGACCCGACGAGGGCCCACCAAGCTTCTGACGCAAGGCAGTGATCCCCTGAGCCCCGACGGCGCCGATAGCAAACCACACACAGGGGTAACGACACCCATTGTAGTTTACGACTGGTCCCCCCCTCAAGACTGAAAGCCTGGAAGATGGGGCCCGATCACATGGGGTCGGAGCATCGAGCCGCATCGCCGATGCGTCGGCGATACGGCGCGAGCCTCCGATCCCATCTAGTTACCCAGACCCCCGACGTCATGATTTGTTCTTAGCCTCGACCCATTTCCCAAGACCGGTTTCTCATCCTGAGCCGTTTTTGACGGTCTCGAGGCCCGGCAAAAGCCGAAGATATGGAACAGCACCTCCCTCGTCATGTTGTTTTCTCCTTACCCGAGGGGGTCTGGGTACTCGGACCCCATCGGGAAGGCCAGAGAGACGGCACCTCAGATGTTTGGGTGACCCAAAAGGGGGTCCAGCTGAAAGGGGGCGGTGCAATCTGGGGCAATTGTATTCTAAATGTACTGCGGCGGAGAATTGCATTGCAATTGTATCGCAAATAATGCATTGCACGCGAAAATCTGGTAATACATTGGCGCCCTGGAATGCATGGCACGCCCCAAACGTATTGCAACCCCACAAATCCGTTGCACCAAACCGACTGCACCACCGCCTCGTCGCTGGACCCCCTCTTGGGTCAGCCCGATGCTCGGACGCCATCGGGGAGGCCCGGAGAGACGGCACCTCAGAGCGAGGCCAGCCGCCCCGGCCAGCTCCGGCCGGGCGCGGGAATGCGTCCTGCCCACGTGGCCGGGCCGCCGCGAGGAGCGCGCCCGCGCCGCCGCCGCCGCCGCCCGGCCTGCGGGTGGCGGCGGCAAGGCAGGCAAGCGCGCTCAATCGCCGATCGCCAGCCGGCCCAAGGTACCCCCGGGATTCTCGGGGTGGCCCAGATGGCCTCCAGGGCACCCCTCACGAGGCCCAGAAGGCCCCAGGGGCTCCAAAATGGATCGAAAAGCTGGGGGCACCTTGGGCCAGTGGCACTTCTAGCAGCACTCGAAATCCTATCCCGACGGAAGAGCCGACCAGATACGGATGGTCTGTCCAGGTGCTCGGACACGGTCTGCCCTGCCATCGCTGGGACGTCCCTTCCCCGTGCATGTTGTTCGGCATCGCGCGATCTTTGCCGCAAGAGGAGCCAAGATGCTCCTCGATGATCCTTGCCGGGAGCCTCCCCCTGAACTCATGCACGGATGGACAATGAGGGCCCCAGGCACCCCCAGCAACGAACAACGCGGATACAGTCGTGGGCGAGGAAGGCGAGGACGGCACCATCAAGGACACTGAGACACCGTGACAGCAGCAAGGGGTGAAGAGGCGGGCTCTTGGAGTCGGAGTTCGGCCAGTGAGCACGAACGTGCCAGGACAGGACTTGGTGTATTTGTCTGTGCTATGGGATCGAGGCCGCCCGGACCAAACCTGTAGCCGTCAGTCGCTATAAAACTCGGGCGAAACGGCCGCCAGACTGGGCGATCCTGGGATCCCCGGCCTTCCCGTGGGACTCTTCCGTGGTCCTCTTTGTTCCTCTCTTGAAGCCCTCTGGCGAAACGCTATTCGGGAACCCTCGCAACGAGAGGCTTTTTTGGCCGTTGTCGGCCTGCAAGGGCCCTCGCAGGGCCCCGGGACTGTCAACAACTGCCTGGAACAAGAGAGCGGCCCCTGGGAGGAATTGGAACTCCCCCCGGGACCCCGTGCTCCAAAGGCAAGAATAGCACACATCTGGAGAATACCGACGGCGACGACGACGGACGACGCCGACGAACGACGATGACGAGTGAAGATGACGAGCAACAAGCAACGGCGACGGCGAACGACGACGAGAAGCCATTGGGGGGGGGGGGGGGGGGGGGGCGAAATCTCCTCCCGCTCGTCCTCCCGAATCGGCAGTATGCTGTTATCGGATGGCACATTCCGAGGCTGACAGAGCTCGCAGGCTCTCAATCGGGGGCGGCCAAGAGGGGGGCGTCCAAGAAAGGGGGGGTGCAAATCGTGGCCGGCGGCATGTGCGCGGCCCAAGGGGGGCCAGGGACGCAATGACATGAGAAGAGGCGCCATGCAGTCCGGGGAACTATCATGGCACACGCCATGATACCCACCCACCCCTGGTCACCACCCCCCTCTTGCCCGCCCCCGATCTCAGCCTCCGCAAGCCTCTCGCCACCCAGACATCCCCGGAACTCGGGGACCCGCTCCCTCCGAGCCTCCGCCTCCGGCGCGCGCCTCCGCTCCGGGACCCCATCCCCCCCGAGCAGGGACCCACACGCGCGAGCAGAAACTCGCGGAGCTCCGCGCCGAGCTCTGCGCGGCGCTGGGCGGGCGCTCTCACCGACGACGGCACGAGAAGTTCGCGCGGGTCTCCCGCACGTCGATCATATACACACACATATAGTATACGTTTACGCAGATGTTTTCTCGCTTGATCTGTCGGGGCCTCCACGGGCCCAGAGTCGTGCAGGCAGGGGCGGCGATATCTTCGAAGACTGCCTCGTGGGCTCGTGCTCGCACCCCGACCTCACGCGATTACGGAGCGCACGGAGGGCGAAGCGGGAGGCGCAGGCTCGACCGGCAACGGGCTGGAAGCACTGGGATGGGTAAGAGGCCCCCCCGGAACAGGGAAGCAGCGGAGGGCTGGGAGAAGAGAGCTGGACAACAACCGCCTGGGCGGGAACCCGAGGAGGATGGGAGGTTGGAGGCGGGAGGCGGGGATGGGGGATACGAGGAGGAGGAGGAGGAGGAGGAGGAGGAGGAGGAGGAGGAGGAGGAGGAGGAGGAGGAGGGGAGGGGGAGGAGGAGGGAGGAGGAGGAGAGGAGGGGGGGGAGGGGGAGGGGAGGGGAGGAGGAGGAGGAGAGGAGGAGGAGGAGGAGGGAGGAGGAGGAGGAGGAGGAGGAGGAGGAAACAGCGAGTTGGCGCCGGGCAGGGCTCGTAGCACAGCTGAGCCACTCAGGAGGAGAAGGAGGAGGAGGAGGAGGAGGAGGAAGAGGGAAGACGAGCAGGAGGAAGAGTACAAGGACGAGGATGGGGTAGTAAGAAGGACGAGCACGAGAAGGGAGAGCACAATGACGAGGAGGGGGGAAGAATGCACGAGGCGTGGGGCAGGCGGCAGGTGGAGGACAGGGCGCGGGCACAAAGAGGAAACCGAGTGTGATAAGGACGACGGGGAAGGCGGCGTCGACGACGACAGCGACCACGACAGCGGTTTCGACGACGACGGCCACGACGACAACGGCGGCGGCGGGGAGGACGCCGAGGACGCCTTGCCTGGTCGAGCGGCGGCTCTTCCGCGGCTGCTCCCAGCCCCTGTGCTCGTCCTTGTCGCGCTGGTCGGGCCTCCACGCCAAGGCTGCCGAGGCTTGCAGTTGGGGGGGGGGAGGGCGAGAAGGAGCCGAGAGAGGGAGGACGGGTGGACGGACGCAGGGAGGAGGGATAACGAAATGAAAAGTGAGAAGAGGAGGGGGCTGGAGGCAGGGGGGGGGGAGGAGGGGAGGGGAGGAGGGGAGGGGTGGGGATGAGGGGAGGGGAGGAGGGGAGGGGAGGCGGGGAGGGGGGAGGGGAGGGAGAAATGAAAGGAAAAGCGAGGAGGGGACGGGGCTGGAAGCAGGGGGGGCGGAGGTAACTTCCCTGACCAGGTTTCCAGGCCTGCCAGCGGGCCACCACTCAGCAATCCTCTAGGCTTTCAGCGAAAGCTCGCAGCGGTAACGCACGAGGCTTGGGAACATCCCCAGCTCATAGCAAAATCCCTGACGGTCCATGCTGTAAAAAATCTCCCCATTCGATACCCAAGTGCCCGACTTTCCAAACTCTCGTGCGCGCTCGAATCGCGCGTGCGTGCGTGCGTACGTTTTGTATGTGCACGTGTGTAGCCCATTCCGCTTCCTTGTCAACGCAATGACCCTGCCAAGCCGCCGACACAAACATGTGTGTGTGTGTGCGTGTGTATACGTGTCCTTGCGCGTGCGTGGTTGCGCGCGTGTTGTCTGTGTGCGTGTCCACGTTTGCTCTTCCCTACCCGTTGCCAGCCTGCCCTCGGCCTTTCATCTGAAACGCTGGGTGCTATTCGTGTGGACGCGTTCCGTACATCATCAATGACACCGGAGGACACGATGTCTTGGTCCGCACCTTCGCGTGGAGCACGCCTGCAATGGCGCCGTGCAGACCGAGCATTCACTCCTGGCTGCGCGCGCGCGGGAGGCTGCCGATCATCTGAACGCCGCTCACTCACCCATGACGTCTTTGTCCCCCTGCCCGGTTGAACTCACTGCCCTTGCGGCCGTGCGCCCTGCCGCGGCGACGAGGTCCACCGACCCCACGACGGCGTCTAGCTGAGTACAGACTCTTCTACACATAACAAGTACCAACTAAACATATAGGCGAAAAACCAAACGGCTTCTGCAACACAGTCACTCCGCCTTTTTCTCAATCCACAGATATACAGATAGGACCACCTTACGAGTGATAAGGAGGTTGGGGGGGGGAATGGGACAGGTGGTCGATTTGCGATGGCTCTGGGTTTGTTGGTGGTTTCGTCAACTTTCCATTGTTGCACACATCAGTCTGTCCATCTGTCAATCGACCTATCTTCCCACCGATGTATCAGTCTATCCGTCTTCTATCAATCAATCGATACACCTATATACATATTGAACCATACCTGTCTATATCTCTCCCTATAAGTATACCGATCTCGCAGTACGTATGTATATGTATAGCTATCTATATGTGTGTGTCTCTATATATATACATATTTATATGTATATAGGTAGCTCTCTATATATCTGTACATAAATATCGCTATCTCTCTATCTAGCTGCATATATATATATATATATATATACACATACAGATGTGTCAACCATCGGGGCACCCATCGGAACAACCACAACCATCGGGACAACCGACGGGATAACCGCTGGGACAACTGGGGGCCACGCCCGGCGCTCCTGGGGCGGCCCTTTTGGCAACAACTGGCCTCTACTATGGATGAAACTCGCGTAGCTTCGCCCCGCCCGCACACACGACACAGAACCGACACCGATTTCCCGGTTGGGGCCACTTCCGTTGTACCCCCCCCAACCTTCGATATATATATATATATATATATATATATATGGATTCATGGGCCTGCGGAAAATAAACCCTTTGTTGCATGTACATGTCGTCGACACTCCACCGCGCGGCCCAGGGAGAGCAACGAGCGCAGCGGCGACCATTATGTATATCCGCTGCCCAACGTGATCGAACTCCAGCGAGGCCCGCTCGCAGCCCAACCCGGGCCTTCCGAAAGGAAGCCAAGACACGGGAATCTACAAGCACCGTCAGGAGAGGGTCTGAACATCAGTGGGACAAGGCAGATTCCAAATTCTCGTGGACGAGGGCTGGGCCTTGGATTGGACTGACGAGTACATACTTGACTCGCGACAACGGTGCCGCTTCGCCGGCTGAGGGGAAGGAGAGTGTCCGCGATTGAGCGGGCGTGCGTGGGCGGGCGCGCGCGCAGGAGTGCCTGCTTGTGCGGGTGTGTAGATCTCCGGACAGCCCCCAGCAGTAGGCAACCACTGGCCCAGAAGCGTGCACGCGCCAGGGGCAGTCAGGGCTGTGGCGCACGCGAGGCCTCAAGCCCCGCCACAGAGGCCAGATCCCGCCGGGCAGAGCATAGCGCCACCCTGCACTACACTGCAACATCCAACGACACCTGCTTGGCACGGGGACGGAAAGCGCATTTACTCTCAGAGCGCGAGATGTCGCTGGGTTGCCCGTTCTATCTCTCTGTCTCCCCGTCTGGAGGCTCTCTTGGGGCATCTTGGTGGCACATTTGGCGCCCTCTAGGGCTATCTAGAAGCCGCGGGAGGCCTCTTCAGGGGGAACTAGGGCGTGTTGGTATCGTGGGAAGACACTAGTTCGCGATAGAACACACATGAAGATTCTGATAATGCTGTCGATGATGCTGATGACGACATACTGTCTCTTGGGAACATGTTGGGCCTCTCCCAGGCCCTCCTTGGGCCGTCTTGTGGCTCCTTTAAGCAGTCTTGAGGCCCTTCTGGGCCGTCCTCAGGTCCTCTTGGGGCCATCTCGGGCCCGCTTGGGCCGTCTGGTGGCCCTCTTGGGGCTCTCTTGGGGCCGTCTGGGGGCCCTCTTGGACAGTCTCGGACCCCCGGCAACGCTCGCGTCATATCTGACATCCTACCCCTCCCTCCCATCCCTTACCATGGCGCAGATCCCCTCTCTACTCGCTCAGTCGGATGTCGAGCAGGGCAATGATCCCGAAAGGGTACGCGATGCATTGTAGAGCACGGCATGGCATGGCGTAGAAGAGCACCGCAAAGCGTAGTATCAACCTAGCATTGCATGCATGCCGTGGCATGGCACGGGAAATGACGCCAGCGCTGCAGCGGGAGCACGAGTCGAAACGAGCGGAAGCGCGGAAATGAGGCCAGCGCTGCAGCGGGAGCACGATTCGGAACGAGCGGAAGCACGGAAATGAGGCCAGCGCTGCAGCGGGAGCACGATTCGGAACGAGCGGGGCCCGAACATGAGGCCGGCGCCTCAGCGAGAGCAGCATTTTGTAAAAAAATGCAAGCGACAACCCAACTCCGGGGAAACCCGTAAAAAACAGTCCGCGGGGGGGGGTCGGCCACTTTCAAACCGTCATCAGGGGAAGAGGGAGAGTAGTATTCATATTGAGTAACTGTGGAGGAGGGAGGAGGGTACGGGAAGGGAGAGGAGGGGGGGGGGAGGGGGACGGGAGGGGAGGGGAGGAAGGCATGAGAAGTCCCACCACGCAGCGGACCGCCCCGCTCGTGGAGGCGCCGCTTGGGCACCGAGAGCCACGCAAGGGTCGGTACGGCACGCCTGCCGCGAGAGCGCCAGCGCGAGCGAGGAAGCGGGGAGGAGGGAAGTGAAGAGAAAAAAAGAGGAACGAGAAACGAAAGAGGATCACGATGCATACCGTGCATATGCGGCAGCACGGTGCCTCGAATGCACTACGTCTCGTTGATCGTTCAGCAATCCTGAGCTTACTGATATACCTTCAATGTGTGCTCTATCGTCCACTGATTTCGAGTTCCTTGGGTCAGATAAGCCCATGCGTAGCGTTACCTGAGTCTGCATTGCCCAACCTGCCCGAGCGCATGGGTTTTAAACTCACGTGCAATAAACTTATGTCGGGGTTGCCCACACATTGTTCTGCACTGGAACAAGACGATGATCTGGTGCGTGCGATTAGCGCCGATGTCTTATCATGCCCAACAACTGCTCGCTTGTTGCACCCGGCTGTTTACAGGCATAACGTCCGGAGAGGAAGCTGGAAGCGAAGGGAAGAGGGAAAGGAGGACCATGACTTCTCAAGTCAGACGGACAAATCCACACTGTCTTGGGTCATCACCTCCTTCACGACCCACTCTCCATCGAGAGGCACGCACGGACGTCAGCGCGAATCTGTCACTACGCCAAACGTGTCATGCACGACATGGCAGATGGAATATTGCACTGGCAATGACCGTCAACATAACACGCTGGCCTTCCATAGTCCTTGCCGTAATACTCGACCTGGCGCAACAAGTGGTCAAGCCAATTAGAGCAAATACTGATCATCCTCGCATCCCACCTTAACACCATGTAGAACACCTCCTGACGACTCGTTAACCTCGTCGCCCGCACATAGATGCCCTAGAATGTCTGATTGAATCCCGTCCTGGCTGACACCCTGGAGCGAAGACTTGGGAGAACTCGGTCAAATAGCAAACCTCGCGACTGAATGAAATGATTGTGGCACCCATGCTAGGACTCAAAGCCGAGAAACCACGACATGCCATGTCTACGTCGCATGTCCTGCTTGCGTGGTAGCCAATAGTGCACACATCGCGCATGGCGAATACCCATCTGCGCACAGGACCTAACAACAATATGACGTAGCACGTACCATGCTGGAAACGCGTGACATCGCAAATTAGAAACACATGATTGCCGTCACTGTACATCCACTCGTAACGTAGTCGTGGGTCATCAATCCGCCTCTGCAACCAGGAACTCCTTGCTTCTCGAGAGCGACACATGCATGCAATGCGCGATCCGGGCCTGCTGCTCATCTCGCTCGATTGCCCAACGGCCTGGGGGAATCATCGGTCGACGATTGCAGCACGGTGTGGACGAGCAGCGACGAGCAAGATTACCAAGGGACGGTGAGATGCGATTGCCACGGGCTTGGACGAGGGGGAGAGAGGAGCAGCGGAGTGCTCAGCTCCAGGAGACACGGCCGCGGGCCAGAAGAGTTGGCACGGATAGCTTCCGACGGACGTGTGCGCTGAGATGGCCTCCCGAGCTCGTGCTGAGGGGGCAGGGTAGGGGGGGTGGGGCCAGCCCCTCGACCTGCCATCGACGATGCATCGCCGATAGATCGGCGATATGCCCTCGGCAGCGCAGCCGCAGGGTCCTGGGCGGGGTGGGCCATCAGGCCCCCGTCCGAGATGAGTGGGCGATCGAGAGCCGATGCCCTCCCCCCAGGAGCCAGTCCCCTCCCTCGCGTCGCCCCTCCGAGCGCTGGCAGCACCGCAAAAAAACGGCGTGGGGAGCGGCGTGACGACAGCGGCGCACAGTGGCGCAGACTCCCTGGAACTGGATCCCCCTCTCTTCCTCCTACTTTCTCTCGACCTCTTGCTCCGCCTCCTCATCCTCCTTCTCCTCCTCCTCGACCTGGATCTCCTCCTGCTGCTCCACGAGTCGGCTGGGGTTCGGCCGTCCCTATCCCAACAATTCCTCCCACCCCCCCTCCTCTGAGAGGCATCCCCCGGCGCCGCCCCATTTGGAAGCCCAGGCAGCGGCGCACCGAAGAAGCCGATGCCCCAGGTTCTGTCGCCTGCGCCGCTGGGAGGAGAGGGGGAGGGAGGAGGAGGAGGAGAAGGAGGAGGAGGAGGAGGAGGAAGATGGGGGAGAAACGGTTTGGATGAGCACGGGGACTCAATCACTCGGGTGCCCGAGGAGCGCTCGAGGGACCCCTGGGGCCGCACGACCCCAGGACGCCGTCGTGAGCTCCGAGGCGGAGACCCGTTTCACATGCCGCAGGGCCTTAGAACCTCTGGCCTCCTCCTCCTTCCTCCTCCTCCTCCTCCTCCTCATCCACCGCCTCCGCCTCCGCCTCCGCTTCCTCCTCCTCCTCCTCCTTCTCCTGCTTCCTCCTCCTCCTCCTCCTCCTGCTGCTCCTCCGGCTCCTCCTCCTCCTCCTCCTCCTCCTGCTCCTCCTCCTCCTCCTCCTCCTCGCTCGCTCCTCCTCCTCCTCCTGCTCCGCCTCCTCCTCCACCTCTCCTGACTCCGCCTCCTCCCGCCTCGCTCCTCCGCCTCCTCTTCCTCCTCCTCCCCCCCTCATCCTCCTCCTCCTCCTCCTCCTCCTCTCCTCCCCTGCTCCTCCTGCGCCTCATCCGCCTCGCTCCTGGCTGCTCCTCCTACTCCGCTCCGGCTCCTGCTACCTGCTCCTGCTCCTGCTCCTGCTGCCTGCTCCTCCTCCTGGCATCCTGCGCCTCCCTGCTCCTGCTCCTGCTCCTGCTCCTCCTCCTCCTCCTCCTCCTCCTCCTCCTCCTCCTCCCCTCGGGAGCCGTCCTCCTTCCTGGAGGCTGGAGGGAGGAGGGGGCGAGGAGGCAAGGAGGACGGAGCAGGGACGTGGGGAAGGAAGAGTGCGGGGGGGCGGCGGAGAAACCACACACACCCTTGATATTCTTCCCGACTAACGGATCGCGACGAAGCGCGCTTTCCGTCACCTGCTTAGCATGGGGACGGAAAGCGCGGGTTCTTTCTGTGACGGCGTGAGACCGCTGGCGTAATGTTTCCGAACCCGCTTGGTGATAAGGCTTTGGTACGGAAGAGTGGGTGGCAGACTCGATCGCCTTGGACACTTTGGAGGCCATCTTGACGCCATCTTGGGCCATCTTAGGGCCTTTTTTGGGCTGCTTTGGGGAGCCATGTTGGGCCGTCTTGAGGCCTCCCGAGGGCGATCCCAATACGATGTTGACCAGAGCGCACTTTGTTGAGGATGTCCCTAGCGAAAACATCATTTTTGGGCCCCAAATAGGGCCATTAGACTCTGGGCCCCCCCTGCCTTCCCCCCCCCTTACTATTTCTCCCGACTAACGGATCGCGACGCAGCGCGCTTTCCGTCATCTGGGCCGGCACGGGAACGGAAAGAGCGCTGCAGCAACCTGCCCGAGAGGGCTCATGGCACCCTTCGCTCTGGGGAGCCTTGGTGATAAGAGTTTGTTACGTCACCGCTCGCTCTTGGGAGCCTTGGTGTTCCGAAGCTTTTACGTTGCCGCTCGCTCTTGGGAACCTTGGTGTTGAGAGTTGTTTACGTCACCGTTAGCTCTTGGGAGCCTTGGTGTGCACGAGTTTGTCACGTCACCGTTCTCTCTTGGGAGCCTTGGTGGGAAGAGCTTGTTACGTCACCACTCTCTGCTGGGAGCCCGGATGTTCAGAGATGTTTACGTTGCCGCTCGCTCTTGGGAGCCTTGGTGTGACGAGCTTGTTACGTCACCTTCGCGCTTGGGAGCCTGGGTGTGAAAAACTTCTTACGTCTCCTCCTCCGCCTCCTCCTCCGCCTCCTCCTCCTCCTGACTCCTCCTCCTCCTCCTCCTCCTCCTCCACCACCTCCACCTCCTCCCTCCCCTTCAACCCCCCCTCCCCACTCCCCCTCCCCCTCCCCCCTCCCCCTCGCCCCTCCCCCTCATCCCCCGGTCCCCCTCCATCCCCCCCCCCCCTCCCGCGCCCCCCCCTCCCCCTCCGGCACCCCCCCTCCTTCCTCCGTCGTCCTCCTCCTCCACCTCCTCCTCCTCCTCCTCACCGCCTCCTCGCCTCCTCCCCCGTCCCTACCTGTCCTCCCTCCCTCCCCTCTCCGTCCTCTACCTCCTCCTCACCCACCTCTCCCCCACCCACCACCTCAATCACTCCTCCTCCTCCTCCGTCCGTAGCCATTTTGGCTCAAGCCGGCCTCAAACCCCCTCTCGCCTTTTCCCCCGCACACGGCCGGTCCGGAGTTGGCGCTGCAAGAGCTGGAGGACTTAGGAATGACTACGGGTGGTGGCCTGAGTTCGTGGACGCCCAGTGCTATGAGTACAGCCGAGATCGCGCTCCTCGGACCTTCTGCTGCTCGCCGCGCAGCGCGTCGCAGGCGCCAGGCAGCCTGCGAGGCCGCCTTGCACGCCAAGGCGTGCGTGGGCGAGCCAGGATCCTGGCAGGACAGGGAGCTGGCTGCCAGGCACGCGCTGCGGCTCGTGTCGCGCGGCCAGCCTGTTCCTGGGGGCGCGCGCAGGAGGAGGAACGCAGCGTGGCACGCCGCGCGCGTCCCTGCCGGCGGCTTCACGAGTGCCTCGCAAGGGGAGCTCGCGTGGGCGGCTGCTGGCCCCAGGCTGGGCTCCCGCTTAAGGGCCACCGCCGACGTTTTCATGCCGCAGGCATCTGTATCTTGAGAGGGTGCTGCCGAGGGGCCGCCCGTCCCTGCTGCCGCTGCTGGTGGGTTGCGGTGTATTGCGGGGCGATGGTGTTCTTCGCTTGCTTCGCCTCCTCTTCGGAGGATGCCGCGTCCGACCCCATCTATATCGACGAGTGTGAATCATCTTCCTGTTCCTCTGCTCGCTCTGTCCCTCGTCCTGCTCGGGAGGAGGCGGCCGAAGGGGTCGCGCGAGTTTCAGACCGATGTGATGCTGCTGGTGAAGGTTCAGGCGCTGTCGCACCTGCGTGGGTGCCCGTGGGCCTTCCGCTGGATCCTGGCGAAAGCCTCCTCTTCGCCAACGGGGCGCGCGCCGTCATCGGATCCTTCTTCTTCCACGGCATGGCCTTCAGCTGGAGTGTGGTCGCCGTCGGCCTCGGCATCTGCGTTCACGTTGTCTCGGATCGTTGCTTCCGACTCCGAGGATGACGCGTGCCAGAACGAGTGCGACCTCAGCGACTTCGATTTCTAGCTGTGTAGTTCGTCTTCATCTATACCTCCCTCGGCGCCAGCGGCCGCAAGATATACTTGGGCTTCCTCTTCGTGGTTCGGCGGCTAAACACGTTGCAGTACATCACCCAGGTGCTGTACTTCGTTTTCTCTCTCCTGTCCTTTTCCGCCGTCGTCCTGGTGAGGTGATCTGGGAAGATAGTATTGGGGTGGAGCGTTGATGTGAGTTTCTGAGAGCGTGGGCTTGAGCTCGCTCAAGCTTCGCTCTGCGGGGGGGGGGCCTCATTTC